TGTGGATAGGCGCCCATCTCCGACAGCACTGTGCTTTAAATGTCCTTTTTTTTTTTAATGTCCTTTTCTGACGATGAATGTGGCACCATTACTCTTGATTGTGCCATTCCCGGTATAGTAAACCATATGATTTGTTTTCAGTCAAACAGGCAATTGCCAACCCATTTCAGCTCACTACTGTCTAGAATAGCAATCTGTTTGCATTCCATTTCACTTTCATCACTTGTAGTTTCCCTAGATTCAGACTTGGTACACTCCAAGTTCTGAGTACTAGCTGATGTCTGCGGCTCTTTCTTCTCACCTGGAGTCATTCCCCATCGACATCAAAGGTCCTCCTGCACTGTCGCTCCATCCATGCCAGTATGGTCGACTCTGCTTTGAGAAGGCCAGCCCTTCCTCAGCCTCAGGCACTCTCGGACAACATTCTGCTGCTAGTCCTGGGGTTCTCCGTACCTCTCAAGGATTCGACGCGCTCCCTAGGGTTTTCAGTGGCGCACTCCGCCGATGTGCACAGCCTGGCCCTTCTTTGCAGTCTGTTCTCAGTCTGGCAGCTCTGCTGAAACCTGCTCACTTGGGGGGACCCTGCTGGGACTTGAAATGCCAGTGACGTAGCTTCCAGCATCACAGCAACACGCAAGCCCCCACAGGACGACACACTGGCAGGCAAGTGGTGGGACATCTTTGCTTTTTCAAACTTTAAAAGGTCTTTGGCAGTAGGTTTGCCCCTGCAAAATGCCATTGGGTCTCTTGAACACTGCTTCCACGGACATTGATTGCTCTTCCGAGCAGAATGAAATCATTGAGACCGTCCATTCCCCGCCCCCACGTCCCGCTCCAATATCAGATGGAATGACAATAAGCTTCCTGGGAAAAGCACCAGCATCTTGTGGTGCAAGCCCATTTGTGGAGCCAGGTGGGAGGTACAGTGTCGGTTGGGCGTGGAGATAGGAGAAGGCCTTCCCGCCCCATCCATTGGCTGTGCGGCATTGACATGAAATTGACAGTCAAGGTGAACACGTGGCGCGGCATGACTAGTATGCCGTGTGCTGTACATCATTCATATATTGAATTGTGACACAAACTCATGTGTGTCCCAGCACCCATTGCCCACTCAGAGAATTGGTTGCTACCCTGTGCCAGCACGGACTGCCTGCAGGCACTCCAGGGCTGGGTGGTCAGGGCCGGCGGTGGGCAGGAAGCCTCCCAGGGACAGGGAGGAAGAGCCCAGATGACAAGAGCATTTCAAGGACAGACGCGACCTAGGCCAATGCTTCAGACGAGAGCAAGGCCCTTGGCCTCACCATCAGGACGGCTCTGACTGTGCGGTGGGGAGGGAACATGCGCAGAGCCATGGAGAAGGAAGAATCAGAGGCCCGCCATGCACTCAGCTCCCAGGCAGTTTTCCATAAAGGGGTCTGCTCCTGTAAGAACTCCGCTTGAGGATCCCAATAAGTGCGGCCCTCCTCTGTCCTAGACGGTCTCTGTGAGGTCCAACGGACTCTCTGGCACACCCCACCACTGCCATCCTGCTCAACGAGAATGAGAAGGGACGCAGCAAGGGGATAGGTGCATGCACCAGGGAGGCGGTGTGTGTGGGCTGGGGGAGGTGGGATGTTGCCGGGAACCTGGTTGGTGCCGGGGGTCCCTCTCCACTCCTTCTCCTGTAAAAGGGGGGTGGCAAGAACTGCTCTGCAGGGCTGCGGTGGGACCCGAGAGCCAGGTGCCAAAGAAGACTGGGGTTGCTGTGACGAGGCCCTCGGCATGCGAGTGACCCCAGCGGGATTAAGGCTCTGTATTCTCCAGATGACTTGCTATTTGGGTGATTCTAAGGGGCCCAGGAAGGAATAGAGGAAGGGGGATTATTTTTAAAAGGCCCCTTTAGGACCCCCAGCATCTTGGCTTTTTGGCTGTGCAGAGTCCTGGCACCTAAGGGCGTAGGCAGCAGCACCTTCTTTTCCCAGCACAGAGCGCAATGCATAGCAGCACATAGCTCATGCTCATTCAAGGCACGGAGACAGACGAGAGGCTGCCTGCCCCAGACGCCCCGTAGCCCAGCATCTGACTCCGGTGTGTTGTGCAGGGGACAGACTGGAGGGGCCCGGGAGGTCATGGAGGCTGCAGCTGCAGTGACAGCAGTGAAAGGGGTGGGAGGAGGTTAGGCAGTGAATTTCCTGTTGAAATGGAATGTGGGGAAGAGCCTCTCCCCGGAAGGCTGGCCGTGGGTGGCTGTGACGGAGGTATGAGGAGAAGTGGCCTCTGCCAAGGGCTGGCAGGTGAGTGCCCCCAGGCTGGGCACAAGCAGTCAAAAGTCTTTTCCACCCTTCCCTCTGGAGGCTAGAGGTCTGGGGTATCTGTCAGATGGATGAGGAGAAGCGTTCCTGGGGAGTGAAGCCGGGCACGTTCTGCATCTCCACTCGGGTCCAGATGGGCCTGAGAATCCCCTTGCAGAGTATGGGGAACTGGGAACCCATCCATTCATCCAACAAGTGCTTATTGAGCACCTACTATGTGCAGCAGTCAAGAGCTCAAACGATAGATTCCATTGGGTTACTCTGCTGCACAAGACCTCTGTTCAATGATTTCATATGCATGAGGAAGTTGGACACTGAATAAGGAAGGCTGAAACATCAATGCATTTGGACCGTGGTGCTGACGGAGAATCGTGAAAGTACCACGGACTGCAGAAAGGACCAACAAATCCGTCTCGGACGAAGGACGACCTGAATGCTCTTTGGAAGCCAGGATGGCGAGGCTTCGTGTCACATCCTGTGGAATGTTGTCAGGAGAGGTCCACCCCTGGAGAAGGACATCACGCCTGGCAAAGCGAGGGACCATGGAAAAGGGGAGACCCTCCAGGAGATGGGTGGACCCCGTGGCTGCAGCGATGAGCTCAAACACAGCAACCACGGTGAGGTTGGCACAGGAGTGGGCGATGTTCCCATCTGTGCTACCCGCCGCTGCTGAGAGTCAGGTCCGACTTTCTGGGACCCAAGAACAACGATGTGCCAAGGAACTCCGGTGGTGTTGTTGGGTTAAGTGTTAGATTGCCAACGTCAAGGTTGTCCGTTCAAACCCACCCGCCAGCCTGTGGGAGACATGTGAGATTATCTGTTCTCATGAAGACTTACAGCCCTGGAGCCCTGGAGCCCAACAGTGGGATCCTATGAGTTGGAGTTGGTTTGGTGGCCCGGTTCGTGCGTCCGCCGGTTACTGCTCTAGGTGCTGGGCTACGTCCGTGAGCACAACGGACCAAACGGGTCTCCTCTAAGATCTCTCTCGATGGGACCAAATTGACAACAGCAACTTGAAAGATTCCAGGGGGCACTCGGGAGCAGTGAGCTCCTGTGAACAGGGGTGTGTGTGTCGGGGGAGCAGCTCAGAGAAGAAGGGTGGGGTGGGTGGCATGACTGAAGGCTGTCGCCGGTGTCGAGGCCACTGTCCCATGGGGGGGTGCTCTGCTGCCCATGCCCCAGAGCAAAAGCATCAGAAGGAGATAGGTGATAGTGCTTTAAGTCAATAGACAGCGCTCCCGTATCCTACGGCGCTGCTAGGTGGGATCTAAAATAAGAGTCCAGTTGTGTGTTCTTTCTAAACGCATACAAAATCAGACAAGACGCTGGACCCTCCCAGAGCTGATAGACTGGCTGGCGAGATGACAATAAGCAGCGTGGTCACCGTGCAGAATCAGGGTCGGGGTGGGACTCGAAGGCAGCGTTCGGAGGGATGGAGGCGGCTCATTGAGAAGGTGACGCTGAGCAGAGCCCTGCAGGAAGAGCGTGTTCCATGCAGAGGGAGCGGCCAGTGCAAAGGGCCGAGGCAGGCCAGCGGGCATCTCCCTGGACCAGCAGGAAGGCCAGTGTGGCTGGAGTGGAGTGAGTGGGGAGTGTGAGGGGGCGTAGGAGGAGAGGAGACAAGGAGGAGCAGGGACACATAAGCAAGGACCTATGTGCCAGTAGGAGTCCTGGCGCCTTAAGCTACCAACCGGAGGGTTAGCTGTCGGAAATGACCAGCTGGCCCACCGGGGAGAGAGGTGACTTTCTACTCCTGTAAAGAGTTACAGTTTTGGAGCCCCCCAAGGGCAGTCCTCCCCTGTCCCATAGGGTGAGTGGGAACTGACTCCATGGCAGGGCATCGCGCAGCTGGTGATGAGCTGGAGAGCTAACTACAAGGTAGGCAGTTCAAATCCATGAGCGGCTCCTCAGGAGAAAGGTGAGGCTTTCTCCTGCCAGTCAGAGTTATCGTCTCAGAAACCCACAGGGGCAGCTCGACCCCGTGTTCTGGGGTTTCTCTGAGTCAGCATGAGAGTTTGGGTTTGGGGTGGCGACCTTGGCCTTGCACTGGGGGCGATGAGAACCCGACTTGAGCAAGGGAGCAACAACCTCGGGGTGTGTGTTGGGCGGAGGGGGTCAGACTGGAGGGGCCTCAGTGGGACTGGGGGACCAGCAGTGGTGAGTAGTGACAGTGGCCTTTAGAGCCGTGGCAGCAGAGGAGGTGGCAAAAACCAGTTGGCCAGTGGCTGTCCTGCTGGACTGGGCAGTGTGGAAGCGTCAGAGCAGAGGAGTCTTGGCTGTGGGAGTGAGGTTCACCAAACATGCCCTCTGGAGTCTTGGGGTTTTGGGTGGGGTCTCAGGCCACTCTAGGAGTGAAGGGGCTAAACCATGAGCTCTGTCCCACCTCTCCCCACGCAGCTCACCAGGGTATCTCCCAGGGCTCTGCCTGTCTGATGCCCTGGGACCATCTGCGTTTCCTTTGATCACACCTTCACAGCTGACACAAAGCTTAGCCGCCTTTCTTCTGGGTCCAACCCATTTGTGGGGAATGATGTGTCCAGGGATGGTCACATGGAGAATCAGTGGAGAGCGGGGCTGGAGGTCCAGCTGATGGATGCCCAGCCAAGGTCAGTCTCTTGGCCAGTGGTCGCTGATGTAGCTGGGGGTGCTCTCTGAATAGACCAGTTACCCAGCCCCTCCACCCAGGCCCCCTTTCTCTCCCCTCTGCAGAGATGTGCCCAAGGGTGCCAATACCTTCGAGGTCTCGGGGAGCTCTGGGGTGGAGGTCTTCGTGCTTTACTACCCTGCACGGGTGGCAGAGCCCACAGGCAAGGCCCACTGGCCTCTGGACGCTAACATGGACGTGGTCGTGTCTGTGAACACAGTCAGTCAGAAGCTATATGACCACAAGGTAAGAGGCCACTCGCCCATGGTAAGTGACTGGGCCCCCCACCCTACCCCCTCCATAGCACACCCCAGACACAAACCACTGACTCAAAAAAAACCCCACAAACATTCACGCTTGCATCCATACAACCTATCCTAATACAACCTCACAGACACTCAAAGACAAACCACCCATCGCCACGACGTCGGACACACTTATACATAGGAATCTGCAGTGTCTCTCACACACGGAGCCACAATGGCACACACACACACACATACATGTCCACATAGCACTGTTATCATACACACATGGAGCCACATCTCTCTCTCTCTTACACACACACACACACACACACACAAACACACGCACACATCAAACTCTAGTTTCCTGCATGGAGACAAGAATTTTGCCACTGAATCATCAGTGTCTGTATTCAGCCTATCCACAGGCCCCCAATATTGGCAGGACTCCACATGAGCAGCCCGTTCACACACATGCACAGACACATGCATGACCTTGTGTGTACATGTCTGGGTTAGGCTGGGTTGACGAAAGAAACAAATTCAGGGACACTCATATATGTGCAAGAAAGAGTTTTATATCAAGAAGTAATTGTGCTTCAATCAAACATCCCAGCCCAGTCCAACCCAAGTCCATACAGCTTATACTGGTCCTTAAGTCCCTCTTGAGACTCACGCAGCCACACGCAATGATACGGAATGCAGGAAGATCAAGGGCCGGTGAGTGCAGAGTCTTGCGGATCCCATGGTGGTAGACACATCTCCAGGGCCCTAGCACCAGGAAGGTAAAGGCAGAGGGAGAGAGGGAGGTCCCCTGGGCCCTCCTTATGAGAAGGCCATGCCCACAAGGAGGCACCATCAGGGTGTGACCTGACTGACAGGCTAGACTCCACCCCTACACTCATGTATCAAGTTGACGTGAAATGATGTAACTACTGCAATGTCTCCCACACTGAAGCACACCTTCTTCTCTCATGCAGTCAGCCCTAAGCACAGATGATACCCCTCAGTTGGCCCAGCCCAGGCCCATGACACACACTCAGTGACCTGATGATTCACGGGCATAGCCTTTCACACCAACAGGGAAAGGGGCGGACTGTGAGTTGACAGCAGGAACTCGAGTCTGCCAGGGCTCTAGTCCCACCTCCCCTGTTTGCTAGCTGTGTGACTGCAGGCAGGCACCTAGTGGACTCAGTGTGACTGTGCTCTGACTACTGGGGCCCCTGAGAGCACCTGTGTAGGGCATGTCACCCGGATTCTGACCATTGGTTGTTGTGATGGGCTTGGGGAGATTGTTCCCCTCCCATAGACGAAGAAATGACCGGCTAGAGAAACTGAGGAACTTATCTAAGTGAAAGTGACAGCTGCCCCGTTCGCTGATTCTCCTTTTCTGACACCCCCCACAAAGCACACCCAAAGGGTCCAATTGTTCTCCTGAGAATCCACCCACCCCTCCCATGTCTCCACCTCCCCCTGCCCCTTGAGCCTCACACCAGCTCGGAAGGCAGGAAGTAGTCCCAGCCAAGCCGGGAGCCTGTGGGTCTTGGGACCTCAGAGCAGAGGTGATCTGGTGGCAGCCACATCTTGAAGAAGGACTGTACCCCGACCCCACCCCCGTCTCTAAAGGTGATGGCCATGCTGGCTGAGGGTTGACCATTTCCCTGCAGGTGAAGGTTTCCTACTTCGGACAGCATGAGGAAGGTGCCCTGGGCCATGGGGTACTCTATATCACAGGTGCTGGTAAGTTTGGCCCTTTGACTCTCCATAGATCCACTCACCCTTTCCGGTTGGCTGTTTGAGAGCCTTATGGGGTCTCTCTTATCCCCCCGAGTGGAAGCTTGGTTTCTTCAGGGATCTTGTGTCCATGCTGAATCACAGGAATTCACACCCAGGGATACTTAGGACCACAGGAATCTAGAAACATCACTCCCCTTGGGTCATTAGCTGGACCCACAACAGGCCTCCTCCATCCAGGCTCCCACAGATGATACTTAGTCAACTCCCAGGCTCGGCTCTGGAACCTGGAGAAGCACATTCCAGTCCCAGCCAGAACCTCTGGCAGCCAGCTGCAGAATCTAGAACCTGAGAGTCTAATCATATGTTATTGGAGTTAAGGACCACCAGGATGGGCTCTAGAAGTCTCCTGGCCACCAAGGGCCAGCAACTCAACCTGCACAGACAGAGTAGGTCAGTCATCCCCACCATATCCAGAGCCGTGAATATCCCCCACACCCAGAACCTCAGTGGGGCAGCCACAGGGGCTCCCAGCTCTGGGCATGGTCCCCAGAGCAGGGAAGCTTGGTTCTATCAGCTGGCCCTGCTTTGGACAGTACGGGCATGCACACAAGGTGTGGGCAGCCCCTAGCACTGCCCTGCATCCTTTCAGACATCTCCCTGGATGTGGACGTGGGCCGCACCGGCAAGGTGAAGAAGAGCCGGGGTGACAAGGTAAGACTCCCCTGGCTGCCTCGAGACTGCAGGGGCCTGAGCCAACCTGGGGCTGGTCCGGGATAGGATGTGTTATCCAACAGGGGCTTAGGGAACCCATCCAGGGACTGCCAAATCACCGCCAATGGGCATGAACCCAGGCTATGCCGTGTGACGGTGTTCTGTGTGACTCTCTGGTCTCCCTGGGCGACCTTGGAGTTGGGGTTGGCTCTTTGGCTGGCTGCCTGTTCTATTTCCTGGGCTGTGTTTGGGCCTCCAAAGCTGGTGGGTGCTCCATCAATGTTTGTGGCGGCGGAACAAAGGCAAGGAGAGAACAGGTCTATTTCTAGGGGATTGGCTGGAGGCGGTCACTGAGGTCAGCCCTAGGCAGAGGGTGATGGCTGCAGGGGCAGCGGCAGGGGGGCAGCGGGAGAGGGGTTCAGGGCCTTACCCTGCGGGAAGTACCAAGAAACTGTCCCGGGAGGAATACAAGGCGCAATTTGTCAGGAGAGACCCCAGGGAGGCAGCCTAGATCAGGAGGCCTTGTGGACAAGGGCGGGCAGTCCCACCACGAGTGGCCTTGCCGATTGGTCACTGCGCAAGGTGACCCTGGGCTGCCCTTCAGAGCCCCGCTGGAATGCTAGCTATGCAGCTGGGGCTCACCTCCCAAAGCCTCTCCTCCCGCTTCTGCAAAATGGAGAAGGGAGTCTGCCGGGCAGCACCTGGCGGAAGAGGATGGAGTCAGGGTGGGGTGGGGGTGCCAGGAATGTTGCTGAATACAGAAAGAGGAGGGGGGGCAGCCATCTTTCTGACTTCAGATTGGATCTCTTTGTCCATGGGAGGATATCAACCTGTCCTTTTAGGGGCCTCTGTGGGACAGGCCCCGGGAGAGTGCTGAGCACAGGGCAGGTCCCCCAAGGCCCCAGGCAGAGCCATGTCTAGGAATGACAGTGTCACCAGGTCCGCCAGTGTGGGGCCTGGGCAGAGCCACTGAGGAGGGCTGGGCAGGTTAAGCACCGGGCAAGGATGGCAAGGAGCCCTGCTGCTCCAGTACCCACCCGATTGAGGGTCTGTCGCTGACTCTTCCTGCAAACCCAGATCATGCAAATCTCCAAGCTAATGAAGCAGCCAGGCCCTGGCCAGGTCCAGAGTCCCTGCTGGGGTCCCACTGACCCTGAGCATCTTGTTTGGTCACAGAAAACCTGGCGCTGGGGCCCAGAGGGCTATGGGGCTATCCTGCTGGTGAACTGTGACCGGGACACCTGGAGGTTCAAGGGGCCCGACTATGCCAGCAGCCAGCTGGTATCCCTGGCTGGTGAGTGGCAGAGGGTTATATGGGGCCGGGGAAGGGCCTGGGGGGAAGGTGGAGGGTGGTGTCTCAGGGGCCTCTCCCTGCAGACCTGCAGGACATGTCCCCCATGGTGCTGAGCTGCGACGGCCCGGACAAGCTCTTTGACAGTCACAAGCTGGTCTTGAACATGTCCTTGTCAGATTCCAAAAGAGTGGGGGTCTTCTGCGCTCGGGGTGAGTGTCCCCCACCCCAGTGCCCGTACCAGCCTCGGCTTGCCAATCCTGTCTTCCCCCATCTGCCCCTTACTCGTGCCTCCCTCTGTGCCGCTCCCTAAAGCTCACCCGAGGCAGCATATGAAGCCCACAGCCCCACCCGCCGGTGAGCGGACTCTGGGTCGGAGGGTCCCAGGGCGGGACTGCTCCCCGGGGTTTCTGGGATTGTCATTCTTACGGACGCAGATGGTCAGTTCTGGGCACACTCACCTTGCCAAACTTCAGTTACTGTTTTTGTTGTTTGCCAGCCAGTTGATGCCAACGGGGTGGCCCTGCAGGCCAGAGCCGAGCAGCCCCCACAGTGTTCCCCAGGCTGCTCTTGTCATGGGGGCAGATCGCAGGCCTTTTCTGCCACAGGCTGGCTGGTGGGATCGAACCACTGACCTTTGGGTGGTTGCAGCCACAGGCTAACCATTAGGCCCCCAGGGTCTGGGTATGAAGTCAAGCACAGACCATCCGTGCCTCAGGGATGCTAGCTCACCTCGTTCTCCCCTGAGAAAGACACTCCACAGCCAGCCCTGTTTTACAGAGGGGGAAACTGAGGCTCGGATGCATGGATTCACTGTCTCAAGGCATCTACCCCCATCTAGTTGGGGGTAGAGCGGTGTTGGAACTCTGACCTCCTTGGTTCAAAGTCCTCCTCTGTGCCCTCCTCTGGTCATTCCACGTCGACCAGCTCTCACCACATGTTGGGCACTGTCCATGCAGGGTCAGTGGGGATGTGGGGGGCCAGCGAAGTTGCAGCCCCGGCCTGCAGGTCTGTCCTTGGGCTCTGAGCCAGGCTGTCAATGAATCTAAGTCTGGGACTTTAGAAAGCACCCATGCACAATCCCACCCATGTGTGGGGTCCGTCCTCCTGTGTACTTCCCGTCACCCTCCTCTGCTCAGCCTGCCCAGACTTGGTCCAGCTAAGCAGGGACTGAGATGTGCGCTGGGTGCGCCCATGGGGGCCAGCAGCCTCGGTCAGCCAAGGAGTGGGCAACCCTCTCTACTGTGGACAACAGGGAGGAAGGGAGGGATACTTTCTCATTCGGCCCTCGGGGGAGGAGATGGGGGCAGACAGACTGTGTGCCAGGGGCTTCTGTCTGCTTCCTGTTTAAAGCGGACACTGACCCCAGGTGAAGAACCAAGGCTCAGAGAGGTTGAGCATTGAGCCAAGCTCCCGCAGCCCCCATGAGGCCATGGTGGAGCGGAACCCTAGTTGCACAAAGATGGCTGTGGCCCTGGTTCGCGGTCTGGGCCTCCTGTCCTGTGGCCCCAGGGTGGCACTGACTCTGGCTCTCCTAGGTGAGGGCTCCCTGTCAGACTACAGGATGGTGCTGGGCCGCCGCCACCTGTCCTACGAGGTGGAGCGGCAGCCGGGCGAGCGGGAGATCAGCTTCTACGTGGAGGGGCTCGACTTCCCGGACGCCAACTTCTCGGGGCTGGTCTCCCTCAGTGTCAGCCTGCTGGACACCAGGGTGTGTACGGCGGAGGGGCTGGCGTGGCCCGAGGGGCTTGGGGCTACATGGAGTCCCCGTGGGGCTCATGAGCCATGTGCCCCTTAGTCCCTGTCCAAGGTCCCCCTCTTCACCGACATCGTGACCTTCCGCCTAGCGCCCTGGATCATGACCCCCAACACCCAGCCCCCGCTGGAGCTGTATGTGTGCAGGTGAGCCCCCTACAGCAGGCTCAGGAGGAAGGGGAGTGCGGGGGCCCGGTTTGGTCCTGCTCCCAGATTGGACTGATCCATTGGGGGGCACTGGGGATGCAGAGCCGTACACAGGGCAGCAGTGGGCAGGCACAGGGCAGCAGCAGGTAGGCACAGGCAGCAGTGGGCAGGCATGGGGCAGCAGTGGGTAGGTGCAGGCATCAGTGGCTGGACACCGCCTAGCAGCCCGCTGGTTTTGGCGTCAGCACCCCTCCCCAACTCTGAGCAGCCAAAGGCAGCTGTCTGGTCCTACTCTGCACTTGGCACGTGGCCTCAGTCTGGCAGTGGGGCCAGGCTGCCGGGGGTCACAGGAAACTGGACCTTTGCTCTGAAGTGGGGGCCCACAGTGCCCGCTGAGGATGTAGGGACCCACCTGCCTGCTGGGGTCCCCTCCAAGAATCCCTGTCAAGCCCTGAGAGGGCGGGCAAGGCCACCCCAGGCCTCTGTCAGGGGTCAGAGCAGCGGACAGGGCCCCGTAGGACCAACAGGGGTCAGAGCTCTCGGAGGGGTGTGGCCAACAGGTCTGTATCACTTACCTCGGTTCAGGTGTGACCTATTCCTCCTCCCACTTCAGCCACCTCTGGCCTCTCCATACCTCCCCTCCAGCTCCACACCATCACTGGATGTGATTTGGGAACACTATTTGTCTTCCCATGGACCTGTGGGCCATCTGAGGGCAGGGACTGTGTCTGAGCCCCAGTGCCCGAGGCCACCCAGAGCCTGGCTCAAACCGAATCAAGGTCACCCTGTCCAGCCCTCCCTCCAGGCCCCAAGGGCAAGGCCACAGCCAGAGGGGGTGACTCCTCCCGCTCCCCACTCCCTGTCTCCTGCACAGTGTGATGGATGATCATGGCAGCAATGAGAATTTTCTGGAGGACATGGCTGACCTGGCGTTGAAAGCCAACTGCAAGCTCATCATCTGCCCTCAGATTGAAAACCGGAATGACCGCTGGATCCAGGTGGGGGCTGCCCTGCGAGGCCTAAGCCCAGTCTGACCCGGGCTTTGGGGTGTGTTCCTACTGACCCTGCAACCCCAGAGAAGCCAGGCCAGGCTGGGTACCGCCTGAGGGACCCGTGACCTGGGGAGGCTTCCCTGATGCCTTCTGTGGCTCCGTCCCCAGACCAGAGTTCTCTCCTGGCTGGGGTCCCAGGAAGTATCCTCTCTGGTTCTTGCCGTGCCCTCACCTCACCACCCACCCACTGCCTGGTCATCCCCCTGCCCCAGGCCCAGCTGACCATCACCCCCACCCCCTGAGGGCACAGTTGGCTCTCCTTTCCCCCAGGATGAGATGGAGTTCGGCTACATCGAGGCCCCCCACAAATCTTTCCCTGTGGTCTTCGACTCCCCCCGGAACCGAGGCCTGAAGGACTTCCCCTACAAGAAGATCCTGGTACGTGGCAGCGGTCAGAATGGGGACCCTCCACAGGACACCTCCAATCAGTCTTGCCTAAGCAGCTGCTCTGGAGTCAGTGTCAGAGTGGACGGTACCCCACGGGGTTCTCACGGGCTGAGACCTTTCTCCAAGGTGCCTCTGGGTAGATTCAAACCTCTAGCCTTTTAGTGAGCAGCACAGTGCTCTGACCACTCACCCCTCCCAGTCCCATCTCCCCTGGTCCTGGGGACCCTAGAGGGTGGGGAGGGTAAACTGTCACAAACTACAGAGTCCTGGGACGGTTGGGTGGCGGTATGCAAAGTATATGCAAATAGGTGATCATCAGCTTGGCTCTGGGAAGGTCAGGGCCTCAAAGTGCCCCCAGATGAGGAGGTCTGTTCTCCCAGGGAAGCCTGGGAGTCTGGGGGAAATTCTCCTCAGAGTCCAGCTCTTTTCTTCTGAAGAAGATGGGCCTCTCTTTAGGTAAGCAATGTTTTTCCGACCACCTGCTGTGTGTCCAGCACTCTGCTACCTACTGGGGCACCATGGCATGAAAGAGAAGGGCCAGCAGGCTCCGCTGGCTCAGCATGGGGTCACTCATTTAATCCACGAGGGACATTCCTTGGCTTAAAGCAATTATTATTCCCTCCTGAGGCATGTGGACGGCCAGGCTCAGAGAGGTTAAGCAACTTGCCCAAGGCCACACAGCTAGTCGGTGGTGGCACCTAGGTGGCCTTAGCCGTGTGGTTGAACTCTCGAGGTGGCCCCAGGCCTGGAGCTCGAGGTCACTGTCACAGAGGTCCTGGCCTCTGCTTGCTTCCCTGTCCTCCTCACCCTCCACCGGGGGAGCCGTGACCGGGAATCTGGGAGTGGGCGCATCCCCAGGAGGTGGCAGTGACGGCTGCCTGGTGAGTGGTGCTGAGGCCGGGGCAGCCTGACCCCAAGCCCTGGTCCCTGTGCACTGATTCCCCTCTGACCTTCCTAACTTCTGCAGCTGCCTTTGGGCTCAGTGAGCTGTTCTTGTCCAGCTTGGCCGGGAATTAAAGTGCACTGTTGTTCTCCTCTTTCTAACGCATGAGTTTAAAAGAGCCCTGGTGACGCACAGGAGTAAGCAGACAGCTTAGTAACCGATAGCTTAGTGGTCCACACCCACTCGGGGTCTCCTGGGAGAATGGCCTGGTCCAGTCTGCCTCCTGGGAGTCCCTGTGCACGTTCACCTGGGCCGGACTCTGAGGCAGCACCACCTCCACCACCGGTGTTCAAGGTTCACAGTGAGCGCCAGGCTGCTGCTCCAGCTGCGGGGCCTCTCGGCTGCCCTTCGAAGCCCTTTCTTTCTGCCAGTGGTCACCGCTCCCTCGCTGCTTCTCGACGTGTGTGGCACCCTTTCCAAACCTTTGGGCCTTTCTTGTGTTTGTGCTACTGCCAACTGACCCCGGCTGGCTTGGCATCCAGGGGTCAGCCAGAGAGTGGATGCAGGATGACATTTCAGGCATGAAGAAAATGTGGAGGGGGCTCTCCTCCGCGTCACCTCCCACCCGGAGCTACCTCTTCCTGTCCTAACTGACCCCTCCGTTTGGGGGGGTGGTCTTACTGGTTCTCTCCTAGGGCCCTGACTTTGGCTACGTAACTCGGGAGACCCCGTACAGGGGCGCCTCCAGCCTGGACTCCTTCGGCAACCTGGACGTCAGCCCGCCCGTCACGGTGGGCGGCAGGGAGTACCCCCTGGGCCGGATCCTCATCGGGAGCAGCTTGCCCAAGTGAGAGGCCAGGGTGGGAGTTAGGGGGTGGGCAGGAGGACCAACTATGCATCCAGCCCTAGTCCCCTCCCCAGCCTGTGTGGAGAGCCCCCGACTCTTAGATCCGCAAGGCGGCCAAGTGGTGAGAAAACAGTTCTAGGCCCCCACGCGCCCCCCCCCCAGGGCACCAGTGATTACCATGGTGTGCTCCCTAAAGGCTAGGGCTTCCAGCTCGCCCGGCAGCACCTCTGAAGAAAGGCCTGGCTGCAGCCCAGCAAACCCTCCGGAGCGGTTCCACTCCAGTGCAGGGGGCCTCGAGCTGGCTTTGATTCAACAGCCGTAGGCACCGGCCTTAAAAAACACTCTGGTATAGCAGGGGGGCTTCGGCAAGAAACCAGATGACCAGCTTCTCCTGGCGAATCGGCAGAGCTGGGGAGGAGGTGTCCAATCTGGCCCAGAGGCAGGGGGATGATGACCTGCTGACCTCTTCGCTTGGGAGGTCTAAGGGCTGGAAGTGAGTGGTTGGTCAGGATAGTGGGGTGTCAGAAGTGACCGGCCCCACCCTGGGCAGGTGTGACCGGGCAGGAAACACGGTGTTTGGGGCTTAGTGCTTGCATAGGTGACGGTGTGGCTAAATCCCGCTGAGCGGGGCCCTCCCTGCCTGCTGGTGACTGAGGAATGAGGCGTTGCAGCACGGGGTCCTGGTGGGGTCCCCTACTTCCTGCCCAGAGATTGCACCCACACCAGGCTCCAGAGGCCACCCTGCCATTTGGGCAGGGCTGGTGTGGAGCCCAGTCCTGCCCCGGCTCACCACCCAGACCCTGCTCTGGGCACAGAGGAGTAAGGAGGGGCGGGGCAGGTCACACAGCAGCAAGTGGCAAGCCTGACAGCCTCCGGGCTCTGGCACCAGCCCAGGCACGTGACCTGGGTGCTCAACCTGGGCGGCAGTGCTGAGGTTGGCCGGGGGCCAGCGGGGTGTGTTCACCCTGCCGGTGACTCCTGCCCAGCTCAACTCAGGGGCTGGGCCTCGCCCACACCCATACCCACCCCCCCAGGGTAAGGGCCTGGAGGCCTTGAGGCAGCTGTTACTGACTCAGGAGAGAACCCCAGGCAGGAGCTTTGGCTTTGGAACCAGGCAGGCTTGGCTTATACCCTGGCTCTGCCACTTATGAGCCCCCTATTTCCCACAGTGCCCTGCACAGAGGAGGCACTTGATGAACTCATTAGAACATATTGCGCGTTATCATGGGACAGGCATTGCCGAAGGGACGGGGCGAGAACAATGAGCAAATCAGGTGAAAAACTCTCCACTTGCTGACTGAGCAAATTATACTCCAGGTCTCCATTCTCTCAGCTGTCACATGGGACGAGGAAGCTGTCCGAGCTGTGTGATCCGTGTCTGGTATAGAGTATTGCTCCGCCTGGGGATCCAGGCTCAGGGGCCAGAAATTCAGAGGAGCAGGCTCAGGGGGAGGGGCTCTCTACATGCTCCCCAAGGCTCCCCAAGGGCTTTGCTCTTTTTTCTGGCTTGGGCTCCTGTCCCAGTCTCTGCGTCATTCCACAAGACAGCAACGCCCTCACCTGCGCTCCATCCTCTCACTAGCCACTGAGCCGAGTCCGGCTCTTCTCTCAGCTCAAGGCCAAAGGGGTTTGTTCAAGGATCCCAGAGGGGAAGGGGAGGGGCCCTTAAGAGGGCTGTGCCTCACCCCACTGTGAGTGTGTTGAGAACCAACAAGGCACTTGGTGGACAGATGAGGCTCTGAGGCTCAGAGAGGGTCAGCTACTTGCCTAGCACCACACAGCAAGCGAGTGGTACTGTCACTGGTCACCTTCTCCTTGGTGCCCAAACTAAAATGAACGCCCCAGGCTGCTGTTCTGTGTTCTGACCTCCCACTGCCACCAAGCCGATTCCCACTCACAGCCACCCGATCTCTAGCAGGCTTCCGAGACTGCAAATCTTCATCTGTGTTTTTACAATGCAGTCATTTAATCATATTAAGAAGAGTTGGGCAATCATCACCACAATTAATTTTAGAACATTTTCTTTCTTGGACCTCATTAAATCGCTCCATTTTCCCCAATCTCCCTTGCCATAACCCAAGAAACTTAATCCAGTTACTGTCTCTGTAGATTTACCAATCCTAGATCTCGTATACAGAAAAACATACCAAAACAAAACAAAACAAAAAAAACCCAAACAGAAACCAAAAAACCTAACAACAATAACAAAATAAAAGAGAAAAATCTCAATAGGAAAGAAATCAGAAAATATTAAAAACCAGAAATAATTTTAAATGGGACAAAGGGAGAACAAATGAGAAGGTGTTAAATTTTAGCCTAGCTACATCTGTATTAATCCACTTCGTCCACTAGCAAGGCTATTCACATCCCTGGTCAATGATCAAAGGGGGCTTACCAGAGACTTAATCCACATGGGGACCCTGCAAATGAATTTTGGGTTCTCACTGCCATCCATAGCCTTCTGCAAACCGGGTGCTCAAAATTTAAATTCTAATGCCATTCCCTCCTCAGGTCTTGGATTTTATTATTTGCACTCCATGGATCACACAGGCTGGGATGTTTCTCCCACGTGGATAAGCTTTCAGACACTATGCTCTCTGATAGCCAGGCACCATCTGATTTCTTCACCACCTTTGAAGTCATAAATCTTTAGGAGCAGGTGGTAGGTTTGAACTGCCGACCTTGTGGCTAGCAGTCCACGCTTCACCTGACAGTGCCACCAGGGTTCCTGTCTATACAGATAAGCAGAGAGAAGCAGGTGAAAGGTAAGCTCAATAATCACCTGACAGTGCCACCAGGGTTCCTGTCTATACAGATAAGCAGAGAGAAGCAGGTGAAAGGTAAGCTCAATAATCTGGACATCACATAGTGTGTTGTCTAAGGAAAGCCTCTGAGAGAAGCTGGCATGGAAACTAAGTTTGACAGAAATGAGGTAGTTAACGATGTGGCTCTTTGGGAGAAAAATGCTCCAGTTGGTGGAACAGCCTGAGCAATGGCCCGACCACAGATATGTTCCTGAGCCATGAGAACAGCCAGGAGGCCCTTGGGACTGGAGGCAAGGGAGCCAAGAAGGGTGGGAAGGCAGAATCAGGGAGCTTGACAGGGGAGAGTTGCAGGCACAACGTGGAACTCGTGTTGTTGGTGTATCATCCGTTATGGTGAGGATTAAACCAGAGACTCTGTGTGGGGAGCTTAAGGCAGAGTCGGCAGTCAGCAATGGTCCGTCATACATTCTCCGCCATCTTTGTTGTCCATTGACAACGCCTTTGAGCGATCCCGCCCCCTGGTGGCAGCTTTGGTGATGACTCAGAGACTCAGCCGGGGCCTCCCCGAGCAATCCGGGGACATTCGGCCCTGGACCCTGCCCTACTCTTCCTGGTTCTACCACTTCTACGCAGGAGCCGTTTCTTTTTCTGAGGTCTAGCTCTTCCCCATAATCCTTTAAAAAAAAATTGTATTAAAATGACAGAAATTTGAAAGAAAAAAAATTCCTGCTTCCAACCCCCAGGCCAAATCAGCATTTCCATTGCTCACGGTCGGACTGTTCTGTTTTATACAGATCATGAACTCGTACTGGTTCAAAAGCATTGAAGCCATTCAAATCCAAACCAAACTGTATGCTGACTCATTGCGATCCTGTAAAAAGGACGGTGTAGCGCTGCCCCTCTTTTTCTGAGACTCTAACTCTTTACGGGAGTAGAAAGCCTGGTCTTTCTCCCGTGGAGCGGCTGGTGCTTTCAAACTGCTGACCGACCCTGTGGGTTGCAGCCCAACTCAGCAAGTACTTATTGAACATCAGTAAGTGTGTGAGAGGTTGTGGGGCGTGCAGTGGTTTTCAACTTCTTCATGCCACGACCCTTTAATACAGTTCCTCATACGGTGGTGACCTCCCAACCAGAACTATTTCCGTTGCGGCTTCATCACTATCATGTTGCTACTGCTATGAATGGGGCGACCCCTGTGAAAGGGTTGTTCGACCCCCAAAGGGGTCGCAACCCACAGGTTGAGAACCGCTGCTCTAGACAAACTATCTGCCTGTACCATACCACGTGAACTGCACACAGAGCGCACCAATACTAGAGGGAATAGTAGAGCTCGAGAGGGGCTGTCGTCCTTCAAAGCCCTCATAGAGAAAGTGGCGACATCTGGATTGCATCTGGAGGCGATGAGTCATGGGCTATGAGACACTGGGGACAATTTCAGGTAGAGAGAGCAGCAGGTGCAAAGGCCCTGAGGCAGCAGTGTCTGGTGTGTCCAGGAGAGGCAGGTCCCTCCCTCTCACTGGAGCGAGGTAGGAGGGGGCCACGGGGGAGTGGCAGGGACCAGGCCACACATGGCCACGTAAGTCCTTATAAAAGGCTTGGCTGTTCTGGGAGCGCGCTGAAGGTGATTCGAGGGGGGTTGACTGGAGGAAGGACATGGTCTGTCATCGTATCGAATGCCTCCTTCTGGCCAGACTGTCGGGAGCAAGCATGAAAGTGAGGCCAGAGAAGGGAGAGGCTGCAGCGGTGACCCAGGTGAGGGAGCTGCCCTGCTGGCCAGGAGGAGGTGGAGGAGGCGAGAAGGGGGCTGGAGTCTGTTCTTCAAGGGGAAGCATGCTTGTGATAGCTTTTTCAACTCGGACAAGTGAGGGTAAAATACATTGGGAAAACAAAATACCTCCATATAGATAGTAGAGGAGCCCTGGGCATAGTGGGTTGGTTATACATTGGGCTGCTAAGTGCAAGATCAGGAGTTTGAAACCTCTTGCTGCTACTTGGGAGAAAGATGAGGCTTTCTCCTTCCAGAACGAGTTACAGGCTCAGAAACCCACAGGGTCAGTTCTACTCTGTCCTCTAGGGTCACTGTGAGCCAGAGTGGGCAGCAGGGTTTTTAAAGAGAGAGCATGCATGTGTGGGTTTCCACCTGGTGTGTTTAGAATAGGCTAATTGCACCAGGGACAGGTGTGAGCCCATTATTCTGACGTACTCCACCGCCTCATCTTTTCAATGGGGACATGGCCCTCACTTAAGGTGTCACCAGAGGCTCTCTTGCATGCATGGGCAGCTTTTTAGAATTAATTTCCCCGCTGGTCCCCGATTCCCTGCTCTAGGCATGCCGCTCCACCTTCCACGCCCTGCTGAGCGGGGGGGGGGGGCTTGAGGGCTCCTGGCCCTCGCTTCAGGAATTAGCGGGGTTAGAGACAGGGCTTCAACCTCAGGGCCTGGGAAGTGGCTCTCACATTCTTGCACACTCTCGCACACATGAGCTGAAGCGTGCCACACAATGCAGATTTGGAGGGTGGGGGTGGATGGATGCCCCCAAATGAAGCTTTGGGACCATGACTGCAAAGCCTCTGTGATGTGGAGGAGGCTGGGGCACAGGGATCATCGGAGCCCCAGGTGTACCGGTGCCACCTTTGGGGAAACACTGGACTGAGATGGGGGTGGGTGGGTGGGAAGCCAGGCCACCTCGTTTTTTGAGCAACAGGCTGTGTGTGTATCCTTTGGGCCAGGGGCCAGTCTGTCTGAACCCTGAGCTGGGAAGGGAGGGCCTCGGTTCTCTTTGGCAAATGGAGTTCCTTGGCCACTCTGGGGTGGACGCCTAGGTGCACCTGCAGGCTGCACCTGGGGACATCCTGTGCCACCCACGGACTCTGTGAGCAGAGGGCACCCTCTACGCTGGCACAGGCCTGACCTCCTCCTGGGGCATTTTCCCACCATACCCTTGGCCATGGCTTGGGCTTGGACTCAGGGCAGCATGGTCCACACTGAGTCATGTCAGCTCTCTGAGCCTCAGTTTCCCCTCTGGGCTTGGATGGGGCGCACACAGAGTGCCCGCCTGGTGCCAGCCCTCCTCTTCTCCCTGGCAGGTCTGTCGGGCGGCGGATGACCAAGGCGGTGCGGGACTTCCTGCAGGCCCAGCAGGTGCAGGCACCTGTGGAGCTCTTCTCCGACTGGCTCTCTGTGGGCCACGTGGACGAGTTCCTGAGCTTCGTGCCCACCTCCGACCAAAAGGTGTGTCCTTTTGGTGTGTCCTCTCCCCTCCTGGCTGAGACACCCTGCTCCTGCACGACTTGATGGGATGGGACAGGGCAAAGCCAAGTTAACCCCGGGGTCCAGAGTGAGCGAAGGGTCAGGGCAGCCTTGAGGCCCGGCCGTGAGAATCCAGGAAGGCTTCCTGGAGGAAGTCAGAGCCTCTGAGCGGGACTCTGATTCTCTCACCCCGACTGGCCGTTTCCTCAGTCCCAGACCCCTCAGCCAAGAGCCAGGCATACTCACCACGTGTCACAGGTTTAACTTGTCCAACAAGCCCTCCACTGTGTGGCAGTCCCCGTTAAACTAATGAGGACACCGGGGCTGAGAAGGGTAATGAAGGTACCCCAAGCCACTCAGCCTGTAGGTGGCAGGGTAGGATTCTAACTCAGACACGAGCCCCACCTTAACCACTGGGATGTACTGCCTCAAGGGGTTAGCTTTGGGAGGCACAGCCCTCGGGGTGCCATGGCCTGTCAAGAAGGTCTTCTGGTGAGAAGGTGGTTACAGCCCAGCATGCCCAGAGTCCAGAAGTCAAGAGCTCTCTGCCCTTGAAGACTCCTGAGAGGGTCTTGAAGGGAGAACTTGGTGGTCAGTGATGAAGGGCCCCGGAGGTAGGGGAGGTGCAGACCCTCAGTGTGGCTGGTGGCAGAGCTGGGCACAGGGCGCCCCTTGAACAGCCTGGCCTCTGAGCTCAGTCCCTCCTGAGCTGGGGGTCGCCTTTGTTTAGGGGGAACCTGCCCCTGAGCAATTCTCCCTCCTTCTGTCCCAGGGCTTCCGGCTGCTCCTGGCCAGCCCCAGTGCCTGCCTCAAACTCTTCCAGGACAAAAGAGAAGAGGGCTATGGGGAGGCGGCCCAGTTCGAAGGTGTGTGCCAGGGACCGGGGCACTCGCTGTGGGGCAAGCTCTCTCTGGCTTGTCTGGGCTCCGGCAGCCTTCCTTCTCTGAGCCTGGTTCACAGGGCTTCAGGCCTCCCTGCCAGTCTCCCCCTTGCCCCCTTTCTGGGGTCAGGGATGGGAAGCCTGGAGGCCGGAGGACATCCCCGGGCACACAGTGAAGGTGGAGGGCTGTGCCCTAGGAGAGCCAAGAAACCGGAAGAGATGAGTTTCCTGGGTGAGGTGACCGGAATGTGCCACCCAGTTCCTTTTTCTTGTCATCCTTGTCTGATTTCACCACCACCCTCTTTGTACCCCTTTCCACAAATAGGAATTCTACAGTAAAGATTAGGGCTCGGGTAGGTAGGGTGCCCAGAGCAAGGCGTGTTCAAGAATGTCTGCATTGTAATGATTAGGCCCTGAGTCCAGGACTCCCTTCCCAAGGGGCATGGGGTGGCGGAGAAAGGCCCCAAGCCATTACCGGGTTTTACTTGTAACTGGAGCCTGTTCCCCAGAGGGTTCCCAGCCTCCAGCTTTCTCCACCCTAGCTTCCCAACCTGGCGTGGAGGTGGGAGGAAAATCCTGGTCCGGACTCTCAGGTCATGCTGCCTGACTCTCTTACAGAGCTGCAATACAGGAGGAAGAGAAAAAGCATTAATGAGATATTGGCAGACAGAAAGATCCGGAGTGACAGTCTCTATGTACAGGTGAGGGGCGGGGCTGGCAGCTGCTCTCAGAGATGTCCCCCTGTCGGGCAGAAGCAGGCTGGGGACTTAACAGGCAGAGTGGGGCCAAGAGACTCAGCAGTCCTCAGGGCCCCGGGTCCGATGGTGGGAATGCCTGCTTTCCACGGCAGTGGTGCCGCGTTCTCGCAATCAGAGAGCTGTGATGAAGAAAGGGGGCCCGGTTGGCGGGTGGGAGAGTCAGAGGAGGCCGGGTGGATCCTGGGTATCAGGGTGGGCACTCAGCAAACAGGGGAGCGGCGGACTCCATCCCCTCCCCAGGCCACTGAGATGGGCCCGAGGGACAATGGGAGCAGTGACTGCCTGAGTCCCAAACCCAGCTCTGCTCTCCTGGCTCTGTGACCTCGGGTGGTCCTGTGAACCTCAGTTTCCCCCGTGGGGACAGCAAGGGCTCCTGGTGCCCGCTGCTGTTAGGAGGATCAGAGGTGCTGGGGGCGGAGGGCTCTGCCCAGGGCTGGCGCACAGTAGGTGCCTTCCTGGTGTGTCCGGTTGGCTCCGGCTGCCTCTCTCCTGTCCCCAGAAATGCATTGACTGGAACCGTGAGGTGCTGAAGCGGGAGCTGGGCCTGACGGAGCGTGACATCATCGACATCCCCCAGCTCTTCCAAATGAACGGCTCCTATGCGGTAGCCTTCTTCCCGGACATGGTGAGCCAGCTCTGGGACCCGAGGGCGACCTGCAGCCCGTGAGCCTCCACGGGTCTCTGTGTGTTTTCTCTGGAGAACATCCCCAAGGTCCCTGAGGGGCACCATGTGCCACTGCTAACCCCAAAGTTGCCCACTCAAGCCTGCCCAGCTGATTCATGTCCAAAAGGCCTGGCGACCTTCCCCCAGGAAACCCCGCGGAGCTCACTTCTCCCCTAGTACAAGGGTGGCCGCGCGCCAGGACTGCAGCGAGCACCGGTGGAAAGTCTTCATCGCCACACATGTGGCACATATCACCACAGCTGCAGAGCAGGGATCCCCAGCAAGAGGCCTTCCTCCCCATCCCCACCCCCCATTTTCATTGTCTCGAGAGGCCAGGGAGGCCGCTAAGCATCCTATAATGCACAGGATGGCCCTTCACCAAAATGCGCCCCTTGTCCCACCTTCCACCAAAGAGAACCACGGGTGTTCCAGCGCCTGTGTCTGGGTCCCAGCTGCCTTCTCTGTTCCGCTCTCCGCTCCCAACAGGGAGGGGCAGGCAGGACAGGACGGCTGGCTTGCAGATGAGCCAGCTGATGTCACCTGGGAGAGCCCTGATTGATGCTATCGGCAAGATCCTGGCCCAAGTGCCCATTACGCCCCTGGGAAAGGATGTTGGGTGTTGGCAGCTGTGGAAGTGGTCCCCACGATGGCACAGAGACACTGTTTTCAGACAGCCTTCAGCCCGAGTCCTTCTCTCTGGACAGGCCGTGGGTTTGTGCTGGGCCTGGGGGTCCCCATGCTGATGGATGGCAGGAGCGGTGGGGTCCCCATGGAACCTGTTTTCCTTCCTCACTGCCGGCTCAGCCTCCAGGTCCCAGCAGAGTCCTGGCCTCCGACATGCCTGGAGCTCCCCCTCACTGTGATCAACAGGCCCTTGTGGGCAAAATTGCCCCTGCCGAGGCCCACTGCTCTTGGGGGATCTGTCCTTTAGCGCTTCCCATGGGGGGAAGCTCGTTCTCCGTGCAGATCAGCCTGGTAGCCACAGAACCAGAAAGTCTTCTAAGCATTGAAACGTGGCTGTGGCTGACGATGATGGTACCGCACAGGGGCCGGCAGGCTCTGGTTCTGGATAAAGGCGGGGCCAAGGACGAGCCCGGAGCCCAAGCCTCGAGTCCGCCCTCCTCAGACTACAGCTTTGCTCCTACCTTCCGGAAGTCAGCTCCCACCGACACCTTGTCTCTCGGTGGGACTCTCTCTGTCCAGGGCCTGCTAGAGGGTCCCAGCAAGCTCTCACTGGAAGGACCCTCAGAGCCCACTGAGCTAACCCCTGGCTTGTTAGCCGAGGCTGCAGAAAGAGCGTGCACTGGGACTGCCCCTCCCCTTCCTATCTCCTCTTCAGTCAGGGTATAGCTGAGGCCCGCTAGTTATGGCCCTAAATCCTTGACTGGCTCATCCCTTGTCCTCTTGCCTGCCCTGACCCCACCCCCAACATGCTCAGGCCCATCCCCGGGCAATCAAGGCCAAGGGGACTTTCCCATTTCCTGTTGATAACAGTGTGCAAGGTCATGCAGGACAGAGCTGGGGGGACAGGGCCCAGAGAGCAGGAGGCCCAGGGATCAAGACTATCCACCCTACCCCCAGAGAGCCCACACAAAGACCCCCCTGTGAACACAAAGGGCAGTTCCTTGTCACCTCTGGCCACCAAGGTGGGCTGAGACTTCCTCCAAGAAGCCCCACACTCTGACACGGGGTGGGGGGCCGGGGTGGGAGTGCCTTCCCTTCCTCAGAGTTGAAACCTCAGGCCAGGTCCTTCTGTGTGGACATCAGACATGCCACCAAAGATCACCTCGGGTGTCCATGCTCCCCAATCTCTTGGCTCAACTCCTCAGTGCCCTAGGACACCCCGGCATCCATCCCAGAATCAGGTAGAAAGTGCAGAGCTAACCTCAGAATCTCACTCTGCGTCCTATGGCTGGTGACCCTGTGTGAGTCACAGGCGCTGGCAGAGACTGGGGGCTTTTGTGGGGCTGGAGCCGGCCCATAGAAGAATACACAGAAACCGCCCTCAAGGCTGCCAGGGGGTTTGTAGAACAAGCTGTGTGCTGCCCGAGGCCCCGTGCCTGGGAAGCTGCTCCCCCTGCAGACCTTGCAGGGGTGTGTGCATGTCTGCCAGTTCCTGGCAGGGGGTAATAAGCCCGTGGTTGTGAACTTAGGAAGATACTGATGGCAGAATGTGTTGGAGGGGGTGACTGGCAGCCTGGCTATTACGATCCTACCTTCCAGCCATCGACCTGTGTCTTCTCTGCTCTCCACCCTAGTTGTTGAGGTGCCCAGGGTGCTGGTGAATGCTGGAGAGGCTCCTGGGAGGGTCAGCCAGAGTTAGAGGCCAGAAGGAACCCCAGGCGCAGTGGCCTCAGCCGACTGAGCATCCCCCTTGCCTTCTCTCTTCTGCAGGTGAACATGGTGGTCTTAGGCAAGTACCTGGGCATCCCGAAGCCCTTCGGGCCCCTCATCAATGGCCGCTGCTGCCTGGAGGAGAAGGTGCGGTCCCTGCTGGAGCCTCTGGGCCTGCACTGCATCTTCATCGATGACTACCTGTCCTACCATGAGCTGCTCGGGGAGGTGCACTGCGGCACCAACGTGCGCCGGAAACCCTTTCCCTTCAAGTGGTGGAACATGCTGCCCTGACCCTGCCCCCCACCAGCCGTCCTCTCTGCTCTCCCACTGGGGAACCATCAGGGTGAGGGCACAGCATCGCCGCCTGGGCCCCATCCTCTTGGGGAGACCTGGGCATCTCCCCTGAGTGCCTGAAAATGTGCCGGACACTGTGGGCTCTGGGGGACAGGGACAAAGGGTCCATTGTCTCCACCTCTGGAATGGACAACCCAGCCCAGGAAGAACCACCCTCAGCCCCCACCTGTCTCGTCCCCGCCCACGGGCCCCAGAGGCGCTGGGGAAGCCCAAAGGCCTCAGTCCATCCAAGGGTCGCCCAGATCGCGGCTGTGGGTGGCTGTCCAGCTGGCTCTGACTCACGGCGACCTGACGGAGGACAGAACAGAACGCTGCCCGGCCCCCGGAGGGCAGGACCGTTGGAACGATTGAGCGCACGACTGCAGCCACTGAGTCAATCCATGTCCGGGAGGGGCTCCTTCCTCTGACTGACCCTCCCCTTTCCCCAGCACAATGCCCGTCTCCGGCCATCGGTCTCTCCGGGTGACAGGTCCAGCAGGTTCTCTTCCACCAACAGCTCCAGATGCATTTCTCTCCAACGGCTTCTTGTCGGCCCTGGGATCGTGTTTACCCCTCGCGGCCGCAACATCGCCTCCGCCCCCGCTGTTCCTTTCTCCCTCGTCTTTGTTTGCCGGTGGCATAGGCCATTCAAGGAGGCCTGGTGGCAGGGTGGTTACACACTGGGCTGCGATCACCAGGTCAACAATTCGAAACCAGTCGCTCCAAGGGAGAACTAGGAAGCGCTCTACTTCTGTAAAGAGTTACCGTCTTGGAAACACAGAGGGGCAGTTCTGCCCTGTCATGTAGGGTCGCCATGAGTTGGCGTCAACTCGATGTCAGTGAATGAGGATGGGGCATTGGACAGGGGCAGGCGTGGGTCAGACACACCTTAGTCGTCCGAGTAACAGCCACTTCGGATTGCTGCCTCTGTTCTGACACCTCCCTTGGGCTCCAGGATAATGACTTTGTATTTAATCAGGAAGGGGACCAGAGGGTCGGGGTCTGGGGTGGGGGTGGGGACTGGCTCCTGTAAGACCAGGAAGGGAGATCCTGGGGCATCCTCTTGCCTCTACCATGAGTGACCCTGACCTCTGACCACCCGGCACCCTCTCGGCCACGCACAGACCGAAAACAAGGACAGGAAACGCGGTAGCTGAGGGCTTGCTTCAGGAACACGCAGTATCAAAACAAAAGGCAGCAGAAACCCTCTAATACCCGACACTGTCCTCAGGAGGGTGCTTGTTACCTGTTGGGAAAGCCTTTAATTATGAGTGCTACCTGCTTCCGGCTTAAACATGCTGAGGCCAACACGTGGGCTGAGGAGGAAAGAGAGAGGAGACAGGGCCCAGGGCTCCAGGCTGAGGCAGAGGATGGCCATGGCAGATGGTGGAGCTTGGGGCCAGAGGGCCCTGTGTCCTCCTGTGCCTGGACTTGAGCCCTCGATGGGAAGGGAGCTACTGTCCCAGATGTCGCAGGGGGTGGGGGCCCAGATGTTAGAGAGGGGGTGGGAGCCATTAGGTTATCTCTGAAGGTGGGGTTTAATTTCCTCTAATAGGCCTTAATTATGCCCTTTCTTCCGCTGGCAGCGGGAGGTGGGGCAGCTTCCCGAGGACCCTGCATATAGCTTGGGTTTTACCTGTGAGTAAACCCGTGGCTGGCTGGGAAGAGGAAGCTGGCATGCAGAGGGAGAGGTTTAATAGTGTGACCCCAGGTGACACTGGGACATGTGCAGACAGCTTGGTCTGAGCAGCAGAGTGAGGGAGAGGTGGCCCTGAAACAGGCATGGAAGCCCGGGGACCAGCCAGCCCTCTTCCCCAACTACACTGGACTCTCAGCCTCTGGGCCCCTCGTCTGTCTGGGCTTGGGGTGACCCCACCTATCCAGGCCCTGGTGAGACCTCAGACTGAGCCAGTTGCTGTCAAATTCAGGGAAACCCTGGCAGACAGAGGCTCCGCAAAAGAAACCAGAACAGATAGGACTATCCCACCTGCAGTCCAGAGGGCTCCAGGGGACCCACTTAGCAGGCCTCCTTGGCTGCTGATCACAGCTCAGCCCTGGCTAGCCCAAGGAAGGGAAGCTCTTCCACGGCCATGGGGGTGAGGCCAGGGTTGGGATCCCAAGGGCCAGGGTTGTGGGTGGAGATGGGTGGGTGTTGCAGAGAGATGGCAGACCGTGGGGAGAAGATGACCAGAGGCGCACTGAGTGTGGGAACTCTGGGCATTGGGGGGCCCAGGGGGAGCCCCCATAGAAGGTTCTAGGTGACCAGTCACCTCCTTTCTCATCAATAAAGATGTCAGCATGCATTTCCTCAAGTGGCTGCCTCCTTGGCTTTGTCGGGCTTTGGGGAGGAGGGCAGGGAAGTGAAGCTCCCTACTTCTGGTCCTGCTGTGTGATACTGCCACCTTCTTCTCTCAGCTTCGGCTGGCCACAGGCAGCCGTCCCGGGACAGGCAGCCTGGCTGACTCATCAGGACGGAGGGGCAGTGTGTGCCCATTGCCCTGAGGTCAGGCTGCCCCGCTGAGATGAATCTCTCGGACTGGGTGGCCTCATCTGAAACTGCCAAGTGGCCCAGCCTCAGGAGTCTGATGTCAGGGGCCCGCAATCACAGCCCTCTGACTCAATGGCAGTGAGTTTGGTTATTGGTCACCTCGACCTTAGGACAGCCTCAGATGGCACCACTGGGCTTCCACCCACTCAATTCACCTTATTTTAATGTTTCCTGTGGGTTAAGAAGCAAATAAATAAAAACCCATCCGTCATCGCCACTTTAGTCTAAATAAACCACAGAGTCATTTCTTCAAAAACAAACCAGTATTTATTGGAGAGCGGTGCACTACGGGCGGGAGGTAAGGGAGACTCGGGACTGACTCTGTCCACCCCCACTCCACCCCCAGCACAGTGGGCCAGTGCCCTGGGAGGTGGGGCCTCCAGTTTGGGCACCTCTACCCAGAGTTGTGTCATGAGAAAGCTCGAGAAACCTCCAGACCTTTTTTTTCCTGAGCTCTAACTCCTACCCTGCCCTGAGTCAGCCACCGTGCTGTTGGAAGAGGCAGGCTGCTTCTGGACCCGGCCGCCTAGCAGGTCTCCTGGCGAAAGAACACAGCTCAGAGCTGTGACGTAGGCGTCCTGGGTTCTGCCCGAAGTGACTGGCCTGGTGCAAGAGCCCCTGCTGAGGACTCTGGGGAGCAGACGCCGGTCCCCACCCCGCCTTAGATGGTCAGCACTGCCGGGGACAGAAACCTCCACTCAGCACTCCAGAACCTCCACTGGCCCAGGGTGTGTCCCCCCATTATCTCCATCGGCCCAGTGATTAGCCTCATAGTCAGCAGGTGCATCCACGAGAGGAGACGGAACCCCCAAGGCGACAGCGGCCTGCAGTGGAGCCCAGCCCCAAGACTCCTTTCCCAAGAGCCGGGGCTCTTGCTATTCTAAGTGCCCAAATGTTCCCTCTGGCCTCAGTGTCCCCACCTGACAAATGACCTTCTCGGCACCCCCTTCTGGGGGAGGGTTTTCAATCTCACCCCACCCCCCACTTCTGGAGGAGTTCTTGGCATCTAGCAACAGTAGCAGCGACCACAGCAATAATGAGTGATCACAAGAAGCACAGCAGGTATGGCCTCCAGCCTCGGGCGTAACAGGACTCGCCGGGCTCGGCAGTGTACTCTGCTTTAACCTCAGCCTTCTGATGGGGAAAGTGAGGCACAGTGTGGCCTGCCCAAGGACACTCAGCCCGGAAGTGGCAGAGGCACAACGCTACAATCCTTGCTCCAAGCCAAAGGTTGGAGCTGCCCAAAGTAGCTCCGCGTGCCTGCAAAAAGCCAGGTGTGGGGCTGCACCTCTGGCCTGCTGCACTGAACTGGAGGCCAGGCCTGGGGCTCTGCATTTCCATTGACTCCCTCAGCAATATTGAGAAGTCCCCCACTCCCTACGCGCGCGCCGCGCAAGCACACACACACACACACACACACACACACACACACACACTGAAACCGCATTGGCTCTGGAGCTAAAGGGGAAAAGGGGGTGAGGAGGGTGAGTGTGGAAAGTGAGCCCCAGCCCCAGATGAGGGACCCTAGCCCTGTCCCAGCACCCCCTCCTACCTGGCACTGCACTCTGACACCCTGGCCGTGTACCTGTGGGGACTTGCTCTCTTTGGGGGAGAAATTAACTACCTGGGTGCCCGGCAAGGGTGCTGGTGGTGGGGTAACAGGTTCGTATGCAAATGTAGAGTTCCTGACAACCAATCCTGAGCGCTTGGCCCTGAGAGTGGGCTGGGCGTCTATGAGTAGAGCCAATGAGCGAGCACCCTGAGCTGGAGAGGCAGGACCAGGGTCTTTTAAACCACATCCCAAGAGGCCTCTGGGACGGTGTTGGGTTTGGTGGCCGCAGCCCAGTCCATGGCCAGCATGTCTCCGCAGAGAATTGTGCGCGTGTCCCTGGAGCACCCCACCAGCGCCGTGTGTGTGGCTGGCGTGGAGACCCTCGTGGACATTTATGGGTAAGAGCTGGCTGGGCTAGCACAGCAGCCTGTCCAGGAAGCTTTGACCTTTGCTTTCTCTGCTGGGTCTCTGGATGACTCAGCCACGGGATGGGACGTGTTCAAGGGACCCTGCTCCCTCTCACAGCTCTGTAGCTCCCTGATCACCCCCACCCCCACCCCCGACATCCCTCCTCTCTCCGATGAAGAATGAGCCTATGGTTCGTTTAGACCGAAGCGTTACATGGGCTGACAGAGGTTTGGAGTGACTGAGCAACTTGTCCAGTGACCTGTGGGCGCTGTTGCCATGGGGGCTGGCACTTGTCTCTGTCCAGATGTCCTGCAGCCTGGCTGGGGTCTGGCTGGAGCAGGACACTCCAGCTTGATCACTTTTGTAAAAATTCCCTATGTGCACACAGCTCTTCCTGGGTGCGGAGCACTTACCTAGGAGCTTGGCAAGTGCTCAGGAACTTAACCCTCCCAGCAAGGCCGGGCGGGGCTCTGGGGGCGCAGTGCGTGGACATTGGGCTGCTACCCAGAAGGTCAGCAGTTTGAAACCACCAGCCGCTCCAAGGGAGAAAGATGGGGCTTACTGCCTCTGTAAAGAGTTACCGTCTCAGAAACCCACAGGGACAGAGCTACTCCGTCCGAGAGGGTCACTGTGAGTCCACGTTACTTCAATGGCAGTGAGATTTTGGATAACAAGTCTAGTGGCTAGGGTTTATTGGTACAACCTCATTTGGCAGGTGGAGTTCCTGGATGGCTCAGTTGTTTAAGCACTTGTCTGCCAACTACTAGGCTGGCGATTTGAGTCTTCCCAGAGGCACCCTGGAAGAAAGATCTGGTGATCTACTTCCGTCACTGAAAAGCCTATGTGCAGCACGGTTCTCTCTGACACACCGGGTCACGGTGACTTGAAGTCAGCTGGGTGGACAACTGGTGATGTGACAGATGAGCTAAGAAGGCACAGAGAGAGCCGGTTACTTCCTCAAGGCCACACAGCTGCTAGCAAAGCCAAACGTTCAATCTACCCAGAGTCCTGCTCAGGGACCTCTGTGTCTAGCTGCCCTGTCACTGGCTGAGGAGGGGGTCCTGCCTGGTTTCCTGCAGCTGCTCAGCACCCCTGCATTCGGCCCCTCCCAGGTGCCGTGGCCATGCCTGCTGCCGATCTCTCTCCTGGGGGGCAGAGGAGGCTTTGGGTGGGGTTTTCAGGAGTGAGACTCTGGGAACCACCATGCTGCTTGACCTTCTCAGGACTCTTGGGGCTCCCCGCTGGGAGACTGCTCCGTGGGCTAGGCTTAATGGCTTCCATGTCTCTGGTCTCTAAGTCCCACCCCAGACCAGGTCTCAGCACAGCACTGCTAAAATGGTGGTGGGGTATCCTGGGCATTAACTGTTGATACCGATTTAGCAGCATACTGGTCTCTACCTACTAGGTATTAGTAGCGCCCACACCCCCGCCTTCATGTCTCCAGACCTGGCTCAATATGCCTCGGGTGCTCCCTGTAGGTGAGGACTGCTATCGTCTCAGACAACAAGCATAAACTCTGCTGCGGACTCAGCTGGAGACAGAGAGGGGGCTGGGCTGTAGAGACTGGATGAGAGGGAGTGAGGAGCTGGTTATGGGCAGGAACCAAGTCTGGCTCAGGGTCCGGGCAGTGAGAGTGGGAAGGGGATTTGGGGTTCCTGACGAAGGAGGGGCCGGCGGCACAGAGGCTGTGGCAGGAGGGAGGCGCCACCACCTCCTCCGTGGGAGTGACTCACCTGCCCTGCCCTGGCTGCCTGGTGCCCCTCGGGCAGGTCCCAACGCCTGGGCCGTCAGCTCCCCTGAAAGCTTCCAGGGAGGAGGGTGGAGGGAACAAGGCACCCTGAGTAGCAACAGCAGTCCTGGCTCTGGGTGATGTGAATGGGGAGGCTCACTTGGGGGATTCAGGTGGGCTGTGCCAGCCACCGGATGGGGGCAGAGGCCACAGCATCTTCATACAAGGGACCTAGACTCCCTGCCACCCCGGAGCAGGGAGAGGGTGGACAGCTCCTGCTTTGTTCATGCCCACATTTGTGCTGTGACGTTTCTCGGGGACTAGCGTATGCCGAAACCTCGGGGACATGAAGATGAGCCAGCAGGCGTGGTCCCTGCCCTCTGCAGTTCTAGCTGTGGCCACCATTCCTGGCGGCACTATGGAATGGACCCTTTCATGATTTAGCCCCACTGTGTGCTCAGAAGCTGGGCCAACAAAAGAAAACGCAAGGAACCCAAGTCCAGACGCTGCTAGTCCCCAGTCTTCCCTCTCTGGAGAAAGTCACTTCTCACAGAGCCTCTGCCTCCTCTCTGGAGAATGGAGAGACTCACAACATCAAGCCGGATAATTAGAGCCTGCCCTGCTGCAGTCAATGTCCCGGGCTAATTCTCACCTTGGTGAGATACCACTAAGGCACTGAGCGCTTGAGGGTTTTGCCCAAGGTGAGGCCGTGAGTGACAGAGCCAGGAGGTAACCCCAGCCCTGGGGCCTGGACTTCAAAGGACTCGTGGGAGGATGAAATGGGATTGGGTCCGTCAAGTATGTGGCAGCCCTGGGGCATCATGGGGCTGCCCCCATTATGCGTGGGGCTGGGATCTGGAAGGCGGGCAGTCTAAAACTACCTGCCGCTCCTCGGGAGAAAGACAGGACTTTCTATTCCCAGGGACAGTGGCAGTCTCGGAAATAGGGGGAGTTCTGCCCTGACCTCTAGGGTCCCTCTGAGTCGACTCCATGGCTGTGAGTTTGGCTTTGGTTTATGTAAAGCGCGCAGCCAGTGCCTGGAAGGGAGCAAGCAGCCTATTCTGACACCTGCCTCCATCATCCATGGTAAGTGCTATCCTCATTGTACGAAGGGTCCCTCCTGGGCCTGTGGGCAGCTTCAGGCAGCCCAAGCCTGTTGCACACAAGCTGGCTGGGAGCAGACTGGCTGGGAGGCAGACTGTGAGGAGGAGGAGGAGGAGGAGGAGGAGGAGGAGGAAGAAGAGCGGTGAGTGCGGGCAGGGCAGTCTGGGCAGACTTCCTGCAGGAGGGGCACTGGTCAGAGGCTGGGGATGAGAGTGTCTTCCTGTCTGTGGATGAGTTGGGAATGGCCCAAATTTTGGACGAGGGCTTCCCCCACCTCACTCCCACACCATGCAAGGAGCTTTTTGGTTAGGGAAGGAGAGAAAGGGTGATCCACATGTGCACTGAGCCAGCCTGGCTGACCCCTTGCTACAGCCAGAGGCAGATACGCACATCACAGTCTGTGTTTGACAGAGGCAAACACTGGGGCTTTCCAGTGGACCCCCTCTGATGATGGTGGAGGGATGTGAACAGTCCCAGTACCAGACAGAGAGCATTGTAAAGTATGGCAGACAGACATCATATGTTAGCATTTGATCACCCTTCTGACCCATTTTAAAGCTGTTTCCATTAAATAAATTTAAAAAAGCAAAGGGGAAATACATGCGGAATCCCCTCTGACCATGGACCAGGGATGTGAGCAGCCTTGCTGCCATGCAGAATGTGTGAGTCCAGGTGGACTAGAGACACAAATCCAGAGACACCTCCATGTGTATAAGAGAGAAGTTTATATACAAGAGCAATTGAATAGTGAGCAGCCATCCCAGCCCAGTCCAGATCAAGTCCATAAGTCCGATATTAGCCCAAATATCCGATACCAGGCTATAAAGTCCTCTTCAGACTCATGAAACACATGCAATGACACCGAATGCAGGCAGATCACAGGCCAGTGGGTGGGAAGTCTGGTGGAACCCGTGGCATTGTAAGCATCTCAGCGCTGGCAGGGCTCTCCACATGGCTCCTCCAGTTCAGGGCACTCACACAGTTCCATGTGTCTTGTCACCCCCAATGTCTCCCAGGGAGTGAGCAGAGAGAGGGTGTCTCCCGCCTCCAGGGAGGAATACCGGAGTTCCCGGACTCCTCAGGGGAAGGCCATGCCCACACAGAGGCCTCATTGGCTACGACCTATGGACAGGCTAGACTCCACCCCTTCACTCTTAATCCTCTCAAATTGACAAACAATTATGGAACCACCACATAGAATGCAGTGGAAAGTAGATTGTTAGGACGCAGTTAGGTTAAAATTTAGCACCCTATCAGTAGATCTCCCTCATGATTCATTTAAGTTTGTTCTAGTTTTAAATATTTTCTGCTTTCCTTTCTATTGAGGTTTTTATCTGAAACCTTGGTCCTAACACCTTTGACCTTTCATCACAGGGGCATGAGTGCGGGACAGGGAGCCTGGGGTCCCCTCAGCAATGCCGTGGGGGTGTGGGCCCAGGAGCTTCTGACTCCCCCTTCCCTTTCATGGTCTCATCAGCCCTACTCTCCTGACGTGGGTGGACACCAGGTGGAGGGAGACCAAGTCACCCGTCAAGACCACATGCTCAGTGAGTGTGTGTTGGGGGGAGGGCGGGGGCAGGCTGGGATCTGACCCAGGGAGTTAGCTCAGAGTCCACCTCTGCTCCATCATGGTGCCGCCCCGATCAAGGACCACCGATGGCTCCCTGGTACCCAGGAGCGAAAGGAAGAGAGCTCATTGCCCTCCGAGTCACCCCTGGACCTTCTACGGCTCCCAGGTGATATCAGTGTCCCCTGTCCTCGGTCTGGGAATAGGTCACCAGCTTTCTCCCGACAGCCTTCTCCAGACACAGCCACACACTCTGCCCCCTGGCCCCGAGTCCTAATTACCTTAATCACCTCTTGTCCTTCCTGGTGTCCCAAGTCTGTCCTGACTGTGGTCACGTGTGGACCCATGAGCTTGGCCGAGTGGCTGTCATTATCCCCACTTTATAGATGAGGGTGGTGAGGCCCAAGGAAGCTGCAGATTTCTTCAGGGGCACCTACTGAGGTGCCACCAGTCCTGGCCTGGAGCCCAGCTCTGTCTCTGGGACTGGTGCCACCTGAGTCTTGGCTTCTGCCCCTCCCTCTCCCTGGGGTGGGTTAGGGTTAGGGTTAGGGGTTCCTGTTTCCGTGTGACACTCTTGTTTGTGCCACTATCCTGGGTCGAAGGACATTGGTCTTGATCAGGACTCCCCAGTGCCTCACACAGGACTTGTTCTGACCGGGCCTGGGAAGCTGAGCGGACACAGCTCGAGCTCAGAGGCTGAATGGGGTCTTCAGTCCACCAGGACCACCAGGCCCTCAGCCCCAGTTCCTGACCACCTGGTGGTGC